AACAGAGCACCACAGACAAACCACTTAACTCAGACTGACGCCAGCTCACTAACAGTCGCGGGAGACCCCCAGCTAACACCACCTAGCAGCACAACTCGTAACTACAAAGCATGCGCGCGCAACAGGTCGGTTCCAGTTATTTTTGGGTCCCCCCTCGTATAACACTTAAATGGTGGGATGACTGTGAATGAATTGGAAACCAGGTCCTTACAAAAACGGAGAAGGAATGCAAAGCACTACATTATGGTATTCAGTATATGCTGTCAGTAACTTAGAGGTCTGGTAATCTTTACCACAATTCAAAACTGTACATACTAAGTTATTATACCCAACTGCAAGCCATTTTTGGAATAAAACCAGGTGGATCTCCTGACGTGAATGATATCACAACCTCCAACTAAATTAAATTCTCTTGATTTGTGTTTGAGAAATAGTCTTCTAATATCTGTTTCTATAGTTTCACGTTTTACAATGCTGCTTCATCTCCAGCTTCCTTCTTGAGGGTAAATATGATCAGGACATGAAACTGACCATTAACCTCTTTAATCTGAAGGCTGTAAACGTGTGGGTCTTCATCTCCATGCCCCCACACATCTACATGGCATGATACTCGTTCTTAAGTTTTCTACCAATAACTTGCATGGCAGTGCAGCAAGGAACTTTCCCATGAGAAATAATATAGAAATGCTTGCGAAATACTCGCTGTGCTTTAACAACAGAGTCACCATTCTTAAAAACCGTTTCAACAATAAATGCATGATGATGTGTGCTCCACTGCTCCATGGCAACTGCAACAGCAACAGTTAAGCTAGCAAATGACATGGTTCCTGCCATCTCATCCTCAGGGGTTGCCAACATAATGCATTTTAAAAATCATCAGGTTCCTAGAAATGTTAGTGACATATTTCAGCAAATTATTTAAAAAATTGAATGTTGATTCTCTCTTATACAACCCATCCCTCATGTTTTTGAGCAAGAAAAACACTGTGCCAAAAAAAAACACTTACACAAACCAGAAAACAAACTAAATCTGAATGACTATAGTACAAAACTGCTGAATCTTGTAGTCATGCACCAATGAACCACGGTTGCCAGTTGCTATTCAGAGACATCAGTCTGGTTATTTAATTGTTAAACATCATATATATTCAACTGTGCTGCCCTATGCAAGACCGAAAATCTGTCCAGTATTACAGTGTTGTTACAATATAATTTCTTGGAATTAACCTACAAGTGACTATAATTACTTTCAAGAATTGAAAGAACCCTTTTTATATGCTCTGAAATACGCATTTCCAAACTAAGTGATAAGTAGAAATATTCAATTTTCTTCTGCTGACATACCACAAACATAGAACAGGCAAGCAGGATTAGCAGCACTATGTGCCTAAGAGTCTGGCGATCTTCTTCACTGTCTTCTTCTTCTATAGCCTCTTGAGTATGGTAGTGCTTCACAACATTACGGCACTGGTCTCGCTGAGCAGATGGGCAGCCAAACCTGGCTGGGCAGATGTCACCTGGGCTGGAGCAGTTTCCTTCCTCATGTAAACTACGGAAAGTGTGACCCCTATCTGACATTATTTCTTCAATATCCACCACTTGCTGGTGTGATTCTGTCTGATGCATCGGAGAAGGACTTCCTACAGAACACGGCTCATGTCAGGAAGGTGAAACCACACAGTTACTTTGCTAAGAACTATACCTCAAAATGTGTTTCGTATTACATGCACTTCATCCACAGTGAACTGTTGAATAATTTTCCTCCATAAAAAAATTAAGATGTGGATTATTGTGGATGATGGAAAATGTTACTTATTACAAATTAGTTATCAAACACCATAGCTAAAATGAAAATGTGGATTAGGATTTCAGCCAATTATTTGTTCAGAAATTAAAGTCATTGCCTAGGTGCTAGTACAAAGTATTAGTGAACACAGTAAAGATGCAATTGCGATTAAGACAAGAATACAGTCTCTCATATGTAATTTAATTTGTGTTTTGACGTCATTAGAGAATAAATGTGTAAACAACATAAAGACAAGTAGATACTATAGGGTTCTGACAATGGTGTATAACACACAGAGATACCGGGTTTTTGCACTTTGTCCATCGTCCGGATTCTAAATAACTAAGTAAAAAAAAAAAACGTTTCGGAAACTCCAGTGACTGAGGCTAGCTCTTTCTAAGGGACATAACAGAGTAGGTGTCTTCCCTTACCTGAGGACGGAAACAGATCCAGTTTCCAAAATGTTGTGTTTTTTACTTAGTTATTTAGAATCCGGACAATGGACAAAGTCCAAAAACCCAGTATCTCTGAACATAAAGACAGAATATGACTAAAGCTGAGATATTTTAACACTATTATTATTAATGTTATATTTTAGCATCCTGTTGCACTGATTTAAGTCCATGATTTATTTAAACCGTCTTGCAGTGCATACACTCATTTATCTCCTTCTCTCCCTCGCACTACATGTTTCGCCATAATAATGCCATCTTCAGGTGCTTACTTATCCATGCCAAACTAGTTCATTGCATGCCTTGTTCTCATATTAAAATAACTAAAATATGTATCTATCATATACATTGTCAAACGTTAAAAATATTAAAATTGTTCAGGATACCACATCGCTACGTCGCACCTCACTACGCCAGTCATGCCCATTCTCCTCTGTTGGAGCACTCCTTCACTATCTTGTGTGTGTTGTGCTTTTGTTGTGTCTTGCTCCTGTGACTGCGTGTGTTATACTGTTGGGCCTCCTGGGTATGTGTGTGTGTTCTGTCTTCGTTTTGAGTGAGTTATCTATTATATCTATTATATATATCTATTATTATTATTATTATTATTATTATTGTTGTTGTTGTAGTTGTTATCATCATCATCATTGTTGTTGTTGTTAGCTGGTAAACAGTTAATAACTGCTGAGAATTAAAATTATTCTAGAAAACAGTTTTGAATTAAATAATGAAAAAAGCTTATTTAAAAATAAGAACAACAAAAGCTATGTAATGGAATGTATTTTGAGAGCTACATACCCAAGTAATCCAAACAAAGAAAATCTACACAATGCTATGTGGATAAAGACAAGACAGCCCCAAGCAACATATTGAAAAAAAAAAGTTTAAATAAATATTAACTAGGCTTTATTGACTTTACTGATTTTTATTGATTGACTTTATTTATTTTTAATGATTTTAATATAGCCCATTATTTAAATTAGGATGTATCCCATGACCTTCCTGCTTGTAGTATTGTGCCTCAACCAACTATGCTACTGCATGCCCCTCGTTCTTGTAGCAGTCATATAGTCACACTTGTCATCATCATCAAGAAATAGGGTATGAGGATGTAGATTGAATTCATATGGCTCAGGATATGATCCAGTTATGGACTCCTGTGAAGACAGTAATGAAACTTCAGGTTCCACAAGAGATGGGGAACTTGACACCTTGAGAACTATTAGTCTCATGTGGAGTCTCTATTGCATGGATTTATATATAATTATATATAAATATATATATAATATATATATAAAAATTATAATTTTTTATGTAGCATTCAGTGTACTTGAGCTGGCTTTAAATGTCAACATAAACAGCTAACCTTCACATGTCCCACATTCAGTGACACTGGTGGTATGAACAATCTGAGGGCTGGTATCATCGTATTCTACATCACTGGCATCTTCCCTACCACTTACATCTTGGACAAGCAATAAGTAGCGAGCATAGCGCCGTTGATATCGCTGGTGGAGAACCAAACAACCAATAGTAACTGAAACAGAGAAACTACATGAACTAATCATGAGCTGTATGTAATTAAAATGTGCAACACTGTCATGCAAGCATCTACACTTTCTGTCTCCTTAATAAATACAACTAGCAGAATGTTAACATACAGAATCCAAAGATTCAACACTGCTACAACAAAGATCTTAGCCTGAGTTACTTCAATTGAATTCACATCCTCATAACCAATCTCTCCAAATTCTGTTTCACTAATTTCCTTGCTTCTCTTTCTTACTCTTTCAAATGCTTTCCTTCCATGGTGGTTCTCTATAAAACTTCTATATTAATTTCTTGCCTTCTCTACCCAAGTTATACACTAAACTGAACTAATAAAATCATTGCAGTATTTTAAATAAAAAAGGACAATGGATAACATCCAGAAACATAATATTTGTACTAATGTACCACCATCACAAACTTTCAGATCTTATGAACAATGTGTTCATTACTGACTTAAAAACTACATTGTGTCAACCAGGAAAGTACTAACTGGGTTCAGAATAAAAACCTATTTTTGCACTCTTTTTGAGACTCACCAATGAAAGAAATGACTAGAATGAAAACAGCAATAGCTGCTTGCACTTCTCCATACTGAAAGTTTGGGTTCCTCTTCTCAACAATACTGTAATCTGGATCTACAGAGAGTATCAGGGCTGTTACCACTACCAACGGACCGCTGTCAACAATGTCAAGAGAAAGGCCAGTTCATGTATGGCAGTAGGTTGAGTAAAATGTAATGACCTGCTGTACAGAGTCCCTGGTTACTGCAATGTATGGGCCAGCCCTACTGTTTAGCATTCTTTCATAAAAACATATATGACAAAAGTAATGCAGTCTGATTCCATAAGATAGTGAATTTCATGAGCAGTTCCAATACTGTCAGCTTCTCAAGTAGCATTCTGCACCATACAATTAATTAGCTAAGTTACAATAAATATCTTACTCTGTTATTAACATTACAGTTTATAATTGAAGTTATTCCCACCTTCTGCATTAGATCTGCCATTTTTTTGTATACAGACAAGTCACATATTCAAAGCATCTTGAAATGGCTTGCACTCAGCTTTCCTGACTCGATATAATGGTATTTCAGCACATTGGAACTCACCCCCAACCTAGCACAATGAACAGAGGCTGCAACTTGAGAACAAAGCAGAGGCTGCGACACTGTAGGAACAGGAGTGCAATGGCTAGGAATGCTGTCCACAACCTTGAGCTGTACACACCAATGGCATATACAACAAACTGTAGGTACAAGGTCCAGGCATCTGACCGATCTAATAGGGACCATAGGATGGTCCCAACACAACCAATTAACTGAAATAACACCAAATTAATCACATGTAAAGTAAAAGTAAGTAAAGGTATCCCTGTAACAGTCCGTGGAGGCCCATAGGGTTGCGAGATGTTGAGGTTCCTACATTTTCTAGACAAAAGGTTGTCAGTTGCCCTTTACCCCAAAGAACATTCCAAGAATATTCGTGGTACTCATTTCTGTTAGAGGCTGAGTCAACCCCAGGGCCATAGTGTGGCTGGAAGGATTGGGATTTGATCCCGTGACCTTCCGGCTTGTAGCATACGTATGCTACAGCGTGCCCCAATTAATCATATGTGGGCACAATACTGTCTTTGGTCAATTTTACATAGTCCCTACTATGCAGATTATAACAAGACAATATTCAAGTAAAATTATCTTGGAAGCTAAAGATGTACAATGTTTTTAATAATTTTACATACATTCAGGTTTCATTATTGGAATGCAGAAAAAGTCTAAATATAAAGACAAGTATTATCATGAAAACCAACTATTTTCACAACAGCTTCACAAACCATAAAGAATGAACTATAAAATTAGCACAGGAATTGGACATCCAAGTTTGTGCTCTTTAGTAATACAGGGTGAATCGTATAGAACCGGCCCGATGAATTTGCTAATAATTCCGGTGATGCATATAACAGCTCACAATTGTGATATAATAATCTGTGGGCCGTGCTGAGTCGAATGGTGTGCGCATGATCTGGCAAGTGGCAGCCCTTATGCTGCAAGGTCAAGGACAATCCCGAAACGTGTCTGCAGTGCGCAGGCGACAGTCATGGAGTGCATTGTTGAACAGCGAGTGTTTCTTGAGCGCACATACTGGGTAACAGGCTCGATTGTGAACACACAATTGGAATTCAGGAGGAAGTTTGGAGTTTGCCAGCAAAATCAACTATACAGTCCTTGGCTCAGAAACAGGAAAGGACAGGGGCACTTTTAAGTGAACGTGGTAAAAACCGCCCAGAAATGCCAGAAGAAACGATTGAAATTGTGCGGGATAGGTTACTGCAGTTCTCCAAAAAATCATTATGACGTCTAAGCCAGGAAACCAGGTATTCTTATTCAATGTGTCAACAGGCTGCAAAGAAAGCAGATCTTCGTCCCTACAAGATCACCAGTGTTCAGGAATTGGGTGATGCTGATAAAGATAAACAGGTATGGTACTAGTAGTTACTATAGGATTCTGACGATGGTGTATAACACACTGATATATTGGGTTTCTGGACTTAATCCATCGTCCTGGTTTTTAAGATAACAAATAAAAACACGACGTTTCGGAAACTGGATCTGTTTCCATCCTCAGGTGAAGGAAAAGGGACGCTAGTTAGACACTATTAGTTTTTTTGTTACTAGTTCTTCTTTCTAATCCATGCCATGGGGTCATGGACCTGGTTATGAGTTTGGTTTTGTGGCATAAATTTCTACAGATCTATCTATCCTGGTTCCACGCTTGTATGTGTTTGCAACAATTTGTTATGAATATTTTTCTTATTAGCTCTCATGGACTTAGCCTGGTCTCAGGTATTTATAATCTTCATGTTGTGTGACATTGGTTTGTCCAGTGATTGAGGCTAGCTCTTTCTAACAGACCCAACAGAATAGGTGTTTCCCTTTTCCTTCACCTGAGGATGGAAACAGATCCAGTTTCTGTTCTGTTTTTATTTGTTATCTTAAAAACCAGCAGGATGGATAAAGTCCAGAAACCCAATATATCAGGTATGGTACTGTTTATGGTTTCAGATAAACCCAGAATTTTGCATATCATTTGGTTTGGTGATGAAGCATGGTTCCACCTATCAGGATATGTAAACACACAAAATTCCAGGATCTGGGCGTCTGAAAACCCACATGAGATTGCTGAATCACCACTACATCCACAAAAAGTGGGTGTGTGGTGCGCCATTTCTGGCTTACGAATCCTTTGACCGATCTTCTTTGACACGACTATGGACAGCACCTTATACTTCCGTATTTTTTATGATTTCCTGCAGCAGCTGGACGATGTGGAACTTACACAGGGTTATTTTCAGCAGGATTCAGCAACATGGCACACGTCCAACATGTTCATGGAACTGATTGAGAGCTTCTTCCCTGATCACGTCATCTCTAAAAAGATGTGCCCCCCAAAATCCCCCGACCTTACCAGCCGGATTTTTTCTCTGGGGTTTACTGAAGGACAGGGTGTATGCAAACAAACCACGTAACTTACAGGATTTAAAGGACAATATTTCGGCTGAAATCAGGAACATCACTGAAGAAACACTGCAGCAAGTCACGGCGAATATGAAAACGCGGGTGGAGGCGTGCCTACTTGAAAACGGTGGACACTTTCAACACCTGCTCTGATCACGGCACACAATCCAAGATAAGATATGTGTAAATTACTTTAATATCTGTATGGTATATTTTATATTACAGCTCATTTCATCAGGCCAGTTCTATATGAATCACACTGTATTATATCTTCCAATATTTCAAGATTTCATTTCAGTAATTCCAGTTTTCTTGTTAGACTTGTGTGAAATTCTCTCTCTTGTAGCTAGGCCCAAGCTGTAAAATATCTGCATGTAATAATTTACATCATTTATTGTTTACAGAGAGTCTGCAATGTCATTGGAGCCGATCTATTTAAAATTTTGCAACTGCATATGATTCTGTGAGATGTCTCATTCTGTTCATACATAGCAATAGGATACTATTAGATTCTACATCAGTTTCCTTGTCAATTTCTTTCTAATTTCTTACTGGTACTGAATGTAAATTGCTTATTTTTATTACACTTATTTGATCTAAAATGTGTTGCAATTTATTATCAGGAAATCTTTCTTTGAGCATCTAAGATGTTGGCTTCCACAAATGGTCACATCAGTTTCAGCTATGGTAACCACATCACAGTAATTCAAAGTTAATTTCACACTGTACATTAATTATTACACTTATTTGATCTAAAGTGTGTTGCAATTTATTATCAGGAAATCTTTCTTTAAGCATCTAAGATGTTGGCTTCCACAAATGGTCACATCAGTTTCAGCTATTGAATTGAATTGAATTGAATTTATTTACATTCTATAAATCCTAAGCAGGTTAGTACCTTTGGATACAGAACAAGTCAAAAGGTTACATACATAAGTACAGGCAATTTTAGTTTAAAAATTAATATAACTTGATTTTACATCATTCTCTATTTACATTGAAGTATTCATCTAAAGAGTAGAAGGAATGAGCATGTAGATAATTCTTTAACTCTGATTTAAACTTTTTAGTATCATTGCCCAAGTTTTTAATACTTTGTGGCAGATTGTTGAACACTTTTATGCCAGTAAAGTAGA